TGAAAAAAATGCAGCAGATTATCGTATATCCATTGCTCAGTACTTCACTGAAGGTTTCTAATCCCTTGTCCTTTTCTCCCTGCGGTACCCTCCTTACTGTAGGCTGAGACTCCTGCCTGCCTGATCACTACAGTGGTGGATTGATAAGGTCACCAGGTTAAAGCCCAAAGCTCGAGCCAGTGCTTAATATACACTGTCGATTTAGACAGTCATTCTTTCTCTTTTCTGCTCCCTTAATTAGTATTTAAATATTCCAAGTGAAGCAGAATAGGTCGAACAGGAGCCATTAATGACCTGAATCCAGAATACTCTGTAGCCTATTTATTGGAGTGTTCATCTGGGGAGTGGAACAGACAAGTCAAAATCTACCAGCTCTCTCATTTAGAGCAGACTGCACTGAGGCTTCTCACATCCCAGATGAATTGCCCTAGAAACAATATTATTATTTAAAAGGGAACCTCTTTTTTAGTAGCATGACTAGCCCTTTGCTTCTAATATGCCCAGCCTTAAAAACGCATTGCACATTAAACATCTTGATTTTTGTGTGTGTGTATGGGCTATTGGCAGAACAAGGACTGTTATATATAAAATAAGTATGAAATAACATAAATACAGAAAACTACTGGTTTATATTTGAATGAGTCTGAATGGAGTAGGGGTATTTTTTGTTTTGTTTATTTTTGTTTTGTTTTTCTTCTGGAGTGGTGGAATGTATAGCTGCTGACCTGTAAAATTAAGTGCCCATCCTTAACCACGAACTCCTATACTTATTATGCCTTAAGGAGTGCTCAACTCACAAATACAAAGGGTGTTTTATCTAAGCTGCCAGAACTACAAGCTCACCCTGGACTCTGAAAGTCACATGGTGTTCTCCTCAAAGTTGTCACCAATTGTCAAGGTTTATTTATACTTATGAGACCTCATGAGTCTTCAGATTGCATCCTAAGTGACAACTCTGAAACCAGAGGAATTGTAAAAATCTCAGAGTTTCAGCTCTTTGGTATTTAGCAAATCAATCTGTTGATGTAAAGGTGACATTTGGTACCTGATGGGGTAGTTCTGTGTGCACGAGAAATTGTGATGTGGAGTCAGGGGTATATATCCCTAGAGTAATCTTTTTATAAAAATGTATATATAACTTTTTAAAGTTCCTATCCTCATTGAAAATCAATAGCAATCACAACCCAGAGTGCCAGGAGGCTCTAGCAGACATGTGGTGGTGGATTAAAATTGGATGGCTGAAATTGTAACAGCTTTCAGCTGCACCCTTCACTCCTGTGATGGATGTTGCCTCCCCCGAAGCAGGGACAACAGATCTGCTCATGAATCTCCCGATCCACTGCAGTGTTCATCTAAAAAGTAAACTGACTTAGATTCCGATTAGCTGTAATACAGACCGTGAAATTTGTCTTGGGAGAGAAAATGTGTCTTATATGGGTGGCAAGGATGTCTGGAGAAGTTCAGGAATCTGATTTTAACCTGCTGCTGAATGACCCCTGTCAATTGTAAAAGTAGAACACAACAGGCTCCATCAGGTGATTTCAGAGCAGCAAAAATGCCTATCTTTCTCATTACCCCTCTGGGCACCTGAAGCCCCACTGATCTCTTGGGCAGAGGCTCTGCTTAACTTTGACACTTTTCTGAGAAAAAGGACAATTTCTGGTGGCTGAACTGATGAAGATGTTGCCCGTGTGTACTTCTCCTTTTTCTCTACTGGTCTAGCTGTGTAAATAGCATCACTGAAGTTTCGAGGAGAAGGTTAGCACTGGTAGGTGATGGACAAAAATGCAATCATCTGGGCACTGCAAAGCAAGAAACAGGTAGAGAAAAGCATCAGGATAACACCATGGGTACTGCAATAACAGAATGGTTGTAGGGGGGAGGGCAATCATCTTGGTATTATTGCCTCTCCTTTTTGGAGTCTTGAAATTATGATGGTATCAATATACAATCCACGCCCCATACATAAGACTGTATAGTAGCAAACAATGTCTTCCTCAGGAGTCCTCAGATAAACTTCTCCAGACAATTTTGTTTATGTAAATATCTACGGACGTAAAAATCTAATTTCTATTTTCAGTAGTTTGGAACATCCTGTCTGGGTTCTTCCAAGCAGTTCAGAAATTTCTGTCCTGTAGATGCCTGCCGGTCCTGTGAGAATGTCTCTGGTATCATAAAGCATCTGTAGCAACACGAGACCTTTCTTAGGCACCTGAATTGCACTGCAAGCACCTGCATCGGGAACCTCTAGCAATATAACAGCATTTCTTTTAGCTTGACTTCCAGTCAAATTTGAGTCAATAGCTGTTTGCTCCCACATCAGTGAATGTAATGGCAGTGATTTTATTGTATAACATCCTGAGTTGGTAAGGGGAAATCGGACTTGGCTGCATCAGCCGCTGAAAATATGCAATAGATAACCTTCCAGCATACTTGAGTTTCGTCTCTGCAGTGTTGCACAGATTTATAAATTGTGGGAAACTATTTTCTTCACCAAAGAAGGCACATAGCAGTCTGAATTTGAAAAGTTAGGTACACTAAATTAGAAGGAACTATTTTTACATAGCAACAGAACTAGAGGAATGATCCTTTGAATGGTAATTACATGTATAAGTCTATATCTATATACACACATAGAGTTTTAATTGCTTGTATTATAACTGTGCAAATATCTGTCATTAGTATGTCCTTGGAGATACGCTGTGGTACTAATCAGATTTGTCAAGATGAGACAGTACCTTTCTCTTCTCTCTTACACGCCATAAACTCTGACTGGTATCCCTAAGGGAAAAAAATGCATAGTGTGTCGTTTATGACCTGTTATGTGCACAAATTACTTGCATTTTGTATGCAGTAGGATAACAAAATGCTATTGATTTGGAATTTGACTTTAGGAAGCTGATCTTTATTGCTAGTTGTCACTTGGCAGATTTTTCCTTCTGCTGAGAAATGTTTGATTTAAAATTTATGTTTGAGGAAATGGAAGCAGTGATGGTTTTATAATTTTTTTTTAAAGTATAAATCCTATCCTAGTAGATAGATATTATTCATAAGCAGAATAGACACTCTATAAATAAGGCTAAATTTCAAATAAGTAACAAAAACCATGTAATATGCCAATCTTGTTCTGCTTATATAACGCTGCTGTGTAGCAGAGCAGCTTTCCAGGTCTTGAAGCAAGGCACTGATCTGTGTCAGGATGCTTGTGCAGAAGCAAGATTAAAAGGTAGAGCTAAGGGAAGTATACATAAATGCGATGCACTACGTAACAAAAGAAATATAGAACAGTTTGGGGTATGAATTTAAACACTCTACAGATATGACAGGTTAAGCGTTAGGGAACCTCTGATACCAAAATTGTCCTTCCCAGTTCTACAGATATGTGTGAGATACATAATGGCCATCTCAGTATGAGTGTTGTTCTCACTTTCTACAGAAAAAGGAACAAAACCAATACTCATTAGCATAAGGACTGAAGGACTTTTTCTGCCACACATTTTTTTTTAGGGATAAATGTATATACCTAGGGTAATATCAAGGTTCTAATTCTTTCTTCATATATTTCTTTAAGAATATCAATATAGTGAATCTCAAATAAAGGCTATATATATGTTGTGATGGCAAATATCTGAAAGTCTTCAACAGCCTTGTACCTTAGCTCTAGTGACAGTTCCAAATGCATATTTGCCATTTTCTATGTGAAAAGTGACACTAAATCTGTTTATCTTTGTATAGAGCAGCTCTGTCACTTTCCTTACTTCCGTCATCCTAGAAAAATATCAGATATATCAATCGTATCAGCTGTGACGAGGCAGGTGATCTCGGGGTGAGAAGCAAAGGTATACGCAAACTAGGCATCACCTGATTCCTTGAAATTTCTGACCTCTGTGTGTGGGCAAGGGTCCCCAGAGTCACTGACATTAGTTTAGGAGAATTGGTTTCGTCACCAGACCAGGAACATATGCAGCAAATCTTTGGATATTTTAACAGTAGCATATAAGCATATATTGTAAACTAAGCTAAGTGGAGATACTTAGAGATGTGGTCTTCTACTGGTTTTGACGGTGGAGTTATGAATATTTCTACTATTCTTATTGTACATACTGTACAACCAAGATTGTTTATGTTATCGCTTTCTTTTGTGGAGAAGAGTGATTTGAAAACTGTGAAATGTGGTCAGGTTTCAGTCACCATAGTTTTGGTTTGTGTCCAGAATTAGTATTTCTTAATACCCCAGGAAGAAATAATTAAGTCACTACTGTTAACTGTCCATTAAACAGTTAGTATGTTTCAACTGTTTACTTAGCTAACGTACATGCTCACCTTCCTACCAGCTTTCTAGTACCAAACCTATGCTTTCTGGAGTTAAGTCTGCTTATGGCACTCTTGTTTCTTAGGAGATTATTTCATTAAGTGAAAAATGCCACAAAGAAAGATTTATAAAAATCAGCTACAAGTGTCTTAGCAACCTGTAACAATACTGGACATGTAAATCATTTGTGTTTTGGTTAGATGAAATGGAGTATATATGTTCCTATTGCCATGGATACGTGTCCTTGACAGCAGAATGCCAGCCAAACCTCGAGCGGCATAGAGGCATTAGGTCCATTACAGTCAATGGAAGTACACTTAATCACATCACCTGAGAATCTGGCCTACCGCCCGTAACAAGACAGTCCTTGGAGAGCAATAGTATTTTATGCTTTCATCAATCACTCTCCTAGGTCTGTACCTATTTGTGGCAGACAAAAAGTGTTATATTGTAATCAAAATGGCTGGTAGTGGCTATTTCACCATGTTTGCTCCCGTATTAACTTTACTAAAAGTGGCCTCAGTTCAGGAAAAACTCCTTCCAGAAAGCACAAGAACCTGTCTTTAATAATGCAATATTTAAATTTAAATATTGTGATTACAGAGTGATTTCAAAACAACACTCATATTCTCAATTTTTAGGCTCCAAGTGATACATTCTATTTCCTCTGCTTTGACTATTTGCCTAGGACGTATGTCTACCACCACGACAATAATAGATGGTAAGAACGGATCTGTCCCCTCATCATCCATGAAAGTGGGCAAGAAGTCAGTTACGGAAGACCTCGTGACAACGTTCAGCTCACCAGCAGCATGGCTTCTTGTTGTTGCTCTGATTGTTACCTGGTCAGCAGTAGCTATTGTAATGTTTGACTTGGTGGATTACAAAGCCTTTGCAGGTAAAATTCAGCATATTCTGTTTGACATCTTGTATATTAAAATTCAAAAATCTATTAAGGAGTGTGTATTCTATAAATAAGCATGCCTCTTAACTTCTTGGAGACAGCACAGTGTCTCTGTTGAGTTTACCAAGAGAGGAGATATTGTGACAAATGTGAGAATATATTAATTTATATTTCATATCTCTTTACAATTTAAATCTCTCCATTTTGCGGCCCATCCTTATCCTGGAAAATGTATATGTTGTCAGGAATATAGTATGTATATGAGCATCTAAGGTCAGATTTGTGTTTTGCAGTTTCTATATAAAATTATTTCAAGAAAAATAAAATTAATTATTAATTCACATTTTCTGAAATGTATTTTAAATGTTGTCATAGTTGCCTTGAGTATTCTGACATCTGCTTACATGGTTCAATGACAAGAAAAATGCAAAAGATCGTTTCTATACATGCTAACCCTAAATTCATCTTCAAGAACCGTAAGCACAGGGGACTTAATATCAGCTAAGTCACACCCTTGTATTCAATAAGGCAATAATTCTAGCCTGGTTTAAGACTTGGCAAATTGAATGAACAAGATCAAGTTTTTGGGTATGTTTTTGTTACTGAGGGCAAAGATGAAAATGAAGTATGAAGTGGGTGATACAAGGACTGTGATCGTGGTTGAGGAATGGGAAGAACAGAATGGGGAATAAAAATTACCTCACTGTTACTTGATTTTTATGCATTGTATCTGGCAATGATATTTAATGAAAAATAAAATAAATTAACTACCTGTGTTTGTAAAGGGTGCATAGCAAGCCACTTCAGCAGTAAAACTTTCATGAGGTAAACAGCTTGTAACGACTGGGAAACATGCATGTGAAACAGAAAACAAAGATTAGGGTCATTTTCTTTCTTAAGTAAGAACTCTGGCTCTAAAGTTATCACATCTTTCACAATAATTAACTAGGAATTGAAATTCAGACTTCAGCCTTTTAATTCAAAACAAATTGAGCTGGTGTTTCAAAGTTAATTTCCTGGACTTTATTAGTTTACTGATAAATCCATAAGTTTTTGTCCTGCTATATATCAACATTGACCTCAACATTTACTTAAAAAGATTTTCAGACATAGATGGATCTTGAAAGAGACTGACCAAGCCTTGATCAATGGATGACACAAAAGCTTGAAATGTGGAGAAAACATGTCACAAACCCCTCTATAATTTTTTGCTTCTCAAAAAATTTGTCTTTGTTTTCAGAAGGGAGTCACTTGAGTCCCAGGAAAACATAGTGTTACTTTTGAGTGATCCTCCCAAAACAGGCACCAGATTTTAATTTGGACACCGCACACCTGGTGCTACAATGTAGATATAAACCACGAGAGACAAACCACCATATACTGCTTTTAATTTTCCATAATAACTGTCAATCAATCAGTCAAGTTCTTAATATGTTTTCAATGAGCAGCTAAGAACCAGGGCATAACTCAAAGTAAACTCTTCATCTAAGTAATTCCTGAACTGGCTGTCAGCTCATGCAAGCTTGCTATACTAGTCAAGGTAATGTTAAGGAATGAGAATCTGTATTCGTACTGGTCACTGAAGGAAACTTTCTAAGTAGATGGAAATCTTATATTCACGTTGTATTGGTTAAAGAGTTTAAATCCCACAAGTGTTGATGGAAACTGACATTTTCAGACCAGGCTGTAGAAATAAACTAAGGTAAAATTTAATCTGTAGGTTGAGTTCGTATCTTGTGGAGATCTCCGAGAGATTATACTTTAGTACTTCGAGTTCGTGAGTTTGTTCTTTTCCTTCCCAAAGATACTTCTGCTCCTAAGTGATTAATTAAGGCAGCATTTAAATCAAGTCTCAGTGGTGAAATGTTAAGAGAAGGAACTGCTGTGCTTCTTCAGACCAGGACTTATTAGATTCTTTTCTGTATTTACATAAATACGACAATGGCTACATTGCTTTTATCATGACCTGTGGGTTTCAGCTCCTGAGTTCCTACTCAGTCTGATTTTTCCAGGTTGAACCCTCTGATTTATAAAAATTCCATGGAAAGAGCTGAAGATTTCCCATAGGACAATGTGGCTGGCATTATTGATACTAGAATGATTTTCACCCTCTCACAGTTTGGCCCTCTGCTTCCAGTGACGTTAATGTCGCTTTTTGTATAGAAAGTAGACTTGGAGCATATTTTTAAGCGACTCCTTAAATCTAAGACCCAATGATATTTTCTCTTGGGTTTGACACTGTTCTTTGAACAGCCAGAATTGCATAAAAACAAGTGAATGTTTTCCAAGCATGATTAAAATTAATTTCCTAGTTTTCAAATGTAAATGAAAGATGCCAAAGAAATTATATTCAACTCTATATTTTTTTAATCTATAACACACAGAGTATTCAGTATGTTTTGCCTTAAACAAGACTTGCCATTCATAAGTCAGTGCATTTTATTTCTTTCCCACTTCTTTACCTGAAGTTCCATGAAGTTCAAATTTTAAAAGTATGCATAGCATAAGAATGAGGGAAGCTGAAGAGGCCTGAACTCGGTTAGTCTAGAGAAAAGGAAACTGAGGGGTGACGTAGGAGCAGCCTGCAGCTTTCTGAAGGGCAGTTACAAAGATGACAGAGGACTCTGACCTGTGGACTCCTACCAGAGACTTCCACTATGTTTCTGCAACAGAAATGACTGTCTCCATAGCAGGGCCACTAACAATGACTGTATTGCACAGGACTGGAGCAGCAAACAGGAACGGTTTGGCATAGTAAAACAGTCTGGGAACTGTGTGGATGAGGAATATACATGGATTTGTTCCTTTTGATTGCACTACAGAGCTGCTAGCCTCTGGCCAATAAAGGAAGTGTAATATCCTAAATATCCTAGATTATATAGACATTCATGGAGCTCAGTAGAAACACAACACATCAGCAGAGTAGGAAGTATTTTAGACTTGAACTCAAGAACCATTTTCTTACTTGAACAACTAACAATTTTTCTCTCATTGTATAGGTAAATGATTCCAAAAAGACGTAAATATTAGTATACATATTTTAGCTGTTACGTATCCTTTTAATTTATCAGTATAAACTTCACCTTACCTTTATGATTAGAGTTCAACCCATAGATTTTCCTTCTTGAGTACTATGATTACATATTCTTTTAGAAGTAAACTATCCAGTTTGGGAACCTTGAAAATTTATATAAGTTAAAATTTGTCCCAGAAGTAACTATATGAAAATGTTTGGTTTGGTTTCATCCTAAAATAGATGTGGTAAATTATTTTTTGGGGGGTCCTCTCTATTCAGTATTTGAAAAGGAGCCTTTAGAACTGAGGGGGGCTGAGGGAGAATAAAACTTAGGTTTTAGGTAGTTGAAGGTAGATTACATGAATTCAAATTCCACTCATAGAAAGTTTTAAGATATATTTTGTGTAATTTTACACATCCAGAACATTATTACTGTAAATTCTATAGTGCTCTGTAGTATTCAGGAGATGCTGGTTATGATACAAATATTGCAGGAGGACCCTGTGTTATTGGCTGCACACATAAAGCTGTGCCTTTTTGGTGGTTATGTGTCAGTTTGTTTAGAGGTTAGAACAGAGATGGGATCTGCAACTCAGCTTTGGCAGTGGATTTTGAGAAAAGCATGAGACAAGAATTAGATCAGTGCTGAAAGATTCGCCCCTGTTGTATCTACCCAGAAGAAGGAAATTAATTTTTGCAGTGTTTTGCTTTAGTGTGTTATGTTCGTTCCTTTGAGGAAAGAAATGAAAGCTTGTATTCCTATCATGTTGTATTGTACAACTAAACATGACTGAAATATTTCTAACGTGGTATGAAGGTGACATGCATTACAAAAGCCTGAGATAAGAAACTGTGAATCTCATGCAGTACGTAACATGTATGAATATGCAATAAGTGTCATACCCCATTGAAAAGACTCATACATTCTCAGTATTTTCAGAAATGCAGAAAAAGTTCAATCTTGGCTTGACGTGTGCTTTGCAAAGTTTGTTATTACTACCATCCTTTGTGTGAGAAAATACACCTTGTTAATTGGCTTCACAATTCATTAATGTATTTCACGCATTTCTTGTACACATAACTGGATTATATATTTTAATTGGTAAATGTAACTAAATAATTTAAGATTATTTTAGTCCTAAAGATTGATTGCCTAGGAATCCATGTTTGCTAATGGGCTAATAAAGTGTTTAGAATTCCCTGCCATCTCTGTGACCAATTACAGCTAATTAACAACACCCTAATTTCAGACCCAGAGTGTTCAATATTCAGAGTAAATTGATAGTGATTTAGCCAGTCACCTAAAGGCCAGACTAAATCAAACTTAAAGAAACCTCACCAAATCTATGAAACACAAAACTATCCACAAAATAATCTAAGGGAAAATATAGAACACGCACGCAGTGCGATGAACTTGCCAAACTCTTTCATAAAAGAAAAAAGAGCAGGTTCTTCGTTGTGGATAATTCAATTCACTCAATCATAAAGAGACTTTTTAGAGACCCGCAGCAAAGGTAGATCTCTGTGGAGGTAATGCCTGTCAATGACAGGAATGGGGACACAACAGGGCATGGAGGCAGGAGCTCCCAGCTCCACAAGAAGCAGCAAAGATTCCAGTCAGAATCTGGTGCTTGGGTTGTTTTTTTTTTTTTTTCTTTTTTAAGTTAATGGCAAAAACATCTGGCCAAATTGTCTGGAGTCTCTCTCATCAGCTTCTGACTAACACAGTCTGAATTCACCATTTCCCTGCCTTAACTTGTGGTCACTTCTAATACTGTCTTGTAGCCACAGAAAGCTTTTGGCTAGCCCTGGGTAGTCAGGATGATATGCCTATTAATATTCTCCAATAGGGCAAAACAGACAAACAAAAAATTAGGAACCACATATTCACATGAGCATCTGTACTCTGGAGAAAAAAGACACATGAAGGTAAAGAACAGGACTCCAAACAACTTGTACTGTATAATTGACACACAGACATTTTTTTCTCCTGCATAATAAAACTCTGAGGTGCAAAACCTGTTAGGTGTAGAGTCTTTGTTTTATTGTTAAGAGAAGTGGAAGTTAGCAAAATATGGCTATTCTACTGGATTTTTTTTTTTTTTTTGAGATAATCTTTAGGAATATATATATATTCTTTTTTTTTTTTTTTTTTTTCCTGGAATGTCATCACACTGTAGTTATTCTGTTGGACTGATGTTCCCTGGAAACTTTTAAGAACTTTTAAGAAAGCAGAGTGTAGTTATATTTACTCTTGTATTTTATGACCGTATATTAAAACTGACAATAATTTTGCACTTATTCAGGAAAAAGAGTGAACTTCTGACTTAGTTTAAAGCATCAGCAAACTTAAAGGAGTAAATCATTTTTTCTATTGGTGCAAGAGGTATTTCACAGTCTTATTAAATTGAAATAATTAGTAAAAGCTTTTCCACATATTGAAAACCCCGGACAAATCTCCCACAGAACAAAGGAGTGGGATGTAAAAAAAAGGTGTTGATCCTTGCTGTGCTTGCCTTGGAACTTGTCAAAACAGTGCTGTAGTCTTTTGAAACACATTTTTTACTATATTTACAGGTGTCAATCCTGAGCATGAGTAAACAATTTACCAATTTCAAAGTTCTTAATGAAATTCTTAATTTAATTATGTGGGTCTTCCACCAATATACCCAAAACCTACAAAACAATTTTTTTCCACTGTCTTCCACAATGATAAAAACAATTAAAGGGATTTAAACCCAACTCCAGTTTAAAGAGTGCTGCCTGGATGATGTCTTATTTCCCATGTTTCACTCCGCAGCAAATCTCACAATTGAGTTTTAAAACCCTAGAAAATGAGTTTATACTGGAAAGAAGTACTGCAGTGCTGCAAATATTGTATTCATCCTAAATGGTCTAGCATATACAAGATGATAAATTGTGATAGGTCAAACTTCATGAGGTCATGAAGTTGAAAATATGAAATTTCAGAAACTGACTCAATGAATAGGGAAGGATCTAAGAAGAGAAATAAGTCCTACATGCCTAAATGCACTTCACGAGATACATAGCACAACCCAAATTTCTGGCCCATAATGGTATCTATGAAATTTCTAATTTTAAACAAACAAACCAACCCAGTAATTCATTTCAGTACCAATTGCAGTAAAGTCGTTCTTTGATTATTTGTTGTTGAAGAAACTGAAATAGTTCAACTAGAATCAACTATATGTAATATATTCTTTTCAGCAACAGAGTATGTTTGTAACTTGTGAAAATAAGTGTGCCTTATTTAACCGTGTTTTTACATTGCTCTGATTCGTGCTGTATTTTCTCACACCTACAGCATATTGTTTTTCTTTTTAATGAACTCAAATTTCTGCTTCATAACAGCAGCCCCACAGAGATTAAATAACTCCTCCCTTCACGCCTTAACTGCTTCCTTTAGTCAAGCAACAGCTGAGGATGATTATTGTTGCTAACGGTGTTTCTTCCTTTTTTTTTTATTGGCCTTTCTGGGGTTCATCCTGTTGCCATCCGCTATAGCCACCTATTCACAACATTGCGATGATCCCTGTTTACCACCTGGTAAAGACCTTCTGCCTGCAGTGTTCTGAACATGCGTGTGCGCCTGCGGTCTGCGGGGCAGCTATAACAAAGCATGGGCACGAGCGGAGTGCCAGGATGCGGCAGCACTGCTTCTCTGCTAACCCCAACTCTGGCTGGCTGGGGCTGCAAAGTTCATTGCAATAGCCTCCTCCAGCTCTCACATATATCGTACTTGAAATGGATCTGTCAGCTAAGAGACACCCTTAGTAAAGGAGATTGCCAGGAAATGGTGGCAAGCTGAGAGATACTCATTTTACCGTAGTAAATGCCCTTTAAAAATGCCATTGTACAATTATTTAACAGAACAGCCTTTTTAACCTGAAGTTAAAATCTGTGTTCTTAGTCAGAGAATTGAATCCTTAGAATAAGAAAGGAAAAAAAGGCTTCAAATTATTTTAGATAAAATGTCTGGCTGTTTCAGAAAAAAAAGCTAATTAGGGTCTGAACCATTGAATCAGAAGCTTTTCAGCTGATATCAAATCAAGTCATATAAATTACATGTAAAGCCCATGCCAAACCTACATTCCTGTCCATGTGTATGGCTATATCAGAAGTACATTCAATAATTTGATACTTTTGAATTTCTTTCTAAATTTTGGCAGGTGGAGTCTAGTTGTAACTACTTTGTTCTCATTTTGGGCAAAATGCCTTTGTCCACTTTCAGGTGGGGTTTTCTCTATGGATTTGACCTCAGTATAGTTATCTAAGGCTGATACTGGAAAGAGACAGTTTTATACTACAGACTGTAGTCTTCATATTTACAATTTAAGTACTTATAAAATAAAAATTACTGGGTAATGCTGAGTCTGAGTTTTCTTTGGCATTGTTTTTACGTTTATGATTCAATGCACTTCTTATAATTCAAACTTAAATTATTATTTTCGTACTTGCCATTCAGTGATACCCACCAGAGTTTGTCCTGAAGCTTAATGCTGTAAGCATGACAGAAATGTTGTTCTATGAAACAGAAAGATAAAACCTAAGGACATCTGTGCTGATAAACTGGAATATTAATAATGGAAGACTTTATATGTGCATTGAGTTTTATATGTTAAACACTACTCTTCAGAAGACCACAGAGTAAAAACAAACTGCTGCCAATAACAACAAACTTTTAAAAATATATAAACTTCCAAATTAAGGTACAGGTGTGTCTATATTTATAAGACAATATTTACTAAAAATAGGATATGTTTTATTATCACAAACTAGTGTTAAGCTTCTGTATTTTATCAAACATGACAGAAATTCTCTGTCTTCATCAGCTGTACCTTGTCACTATCAATGAATTAGATTATATCACATAGATCAATCTTTACACCAGATAATTACCATCACTTGTAATTTAATTGCATTTAATTCACTGGAGTCAAAATATGTAATTGATGAAAATCCCACAATTATTAAGTAATTCACTGCAACTCATTAAAAAAAAAAAAAACAAACAACAAACAACACTAAAATAGGTTGAATTCTGAGTATATATTTAACTGTTTGACAAGCAAAAAAGATTGATAGAAGACTACATTCCTGGCAGAGTTATCAAGATGAAATAATGATTGAAGTGATTTGCACAGATAAATCAATTAGTCCCTTTTTGTTGTGCACTTCACAGGAATAAATGACACAGATCATGAAACATAATCAAATTTGCTTGAGGCACTACAACAAATCCTACCATGCGATTAATCAATTCCTATTTCCAAAAGCACTGTTAAAGGACCCATTATCAGTCCTAATGAAAAAAAGAAGATTTTTTCTGTTTGCAAAATACCACAATTTTACTAAAGTTGAAGTGACTTTGTCACTTTATAAAAGTTATCTTCTTTCCCAAGAAATACCTTATGCTGATTGAAGGAATTTGGAAGTCTGTCATTGGTCGATTTCAAAGAGCTATGTTAACTGTGAGTTATTAATTACCATTAAAGGTAAGAATCCTATTTTCAAATCAACTGGAGTTAAAGTTGTGAGCCGAAGAGAGTTCACAACTGAAGAAATTAGTTGTTCAGAATTCTTGTTCTCACATTTTGAATCAAATTACTCTTTCTATGCCAATAGTGCTGGAGACCTACAAAGAATTGTAGCAGTTTAGTTTTGATGTAATGATTATGAAAGCCAGTTTCAAAATATATAGGGAGTTTTCACAAGTATTTAATAACTACAACACATCTGAAATAATTTCTTAAAGGATGATTTTAACCAAATTAACTAAACATTTACATGTTTAGTAAAGAAAACGCATACAAGCTTCCAAATTTTCTTGCAGATATCTACAACAGGTAGCAAACTTCCTCCAATCAAATTCAGATGAGTTTTCCTACAATAAGGTTTTGTTTAAAGTTAGTACACAAAGTCCTTTAGTTTGAATGGGATTCTTTCTCTATCAGCTTTAACTCTTCCAAATTTCAGCATTTGCCAGAAGGTTCTGGAATTAAAATTTGGAAATTCCCACCAAAAAAATAAAAAAAGGGCAAAACTGTTAATTATTCTTGTAGCAGTGAAAGTGTCAGCACAAGTAGAGCTGAACTTTTACTGAACTGAAAAACATCTCTTATACTGTACCAAGTAATAACAAACCATGATAAAACAAGATGTTATAGCAAACCATTGTTAGTAGTACCATTACTCTTTTGGAATGCAAGTAATTTATCGATGTGAATAGTCATATTGACCTGGAATTAATTATGAATGCAAAGTTACAAATCTTAAGTGTCTAGCCAAAGTGTACAATGACAAGATGGATTTAAATACAAAACAGCACCAGTAATAGGATCCATGTCACATACATCAGTCATGTGAAAGTAAGGTGTCATGTCCATGCTAATTTTTCAGGCTTCCTTTGCTTCCTAGTCCATGGAAAGGGACGGGTATCTTTTGTAATTGATTCATATAACTAAAAAAAATATGTCAGAGGAAAGTGAGAGACTTGCCTTCTGGAGGCCACAATATGTCTTTCTGCATTGGCTTTTGAAGAAGTCTAGAAACCACCAGGGATTCAACACCTGGCTGTCAGGTACATATGGCTAGATAGGATAATCTGAATTTAAACTATGATTAAATGAAATTACATACCATCAATGAAATTCTTCAATACTAATTGCATGTTTCATCCCTGAGCTTAACCTGCTGAGTAACCATTCACTTCATTTCCCCTCCTTCCTCCTTCAACAGACATTGAGTATTCTACTACATTATCCAAGAGGAGCAATTGGCTCAGTCCCTGTTTACAAGTTCAGCAAAATGTAGAACTTCACAGCCTGTATCTTTCTAAGAAATACTCTTTATTCATAAAGGCTCTTTACAGATTAAATTCAAGATCCTGCCCCTTCTACTCCCAGCACAATAAATGGTATATGATATATTAATTATATTTTATAGTTACAGATTAATTACAAATTATATATTACATACTACGTAACATACACTAGCAACAGAAGTATATTACGAGCTTAGGTTTAAAATAATTTGTGTTCTAAGTTCTGCCAAGAAATGTCAGAGGATAGCTAATCCAGTCTGAATCCAAGACTAATCTAAAAATAATCATAATACTGTACTTGTGCTGGACATCAGTAACAAAAAAAAATAAATCTAAATTACATCAAAATATCAAGCTCAAACTTTGTTATGAAAATCTACATTCTCTCAGCTTCAATCTTGGGGCAAGAGTATGCAAATCCTTTGGAAATGGCTATCTTTCTTTGCATGTGTGTGAGGTAAATGGCTTCTTTCTCTATACTTTTTATCCCCTGAATTGCTTATTTTGTTTGTTTCTGCGTGTTTTGTTCTTTAGGGAAAGAACTTGCTATTGTCAAAGTTGTGGGAAGAGCTAAAAGCATGGATTTGACCAGTAGTAATTTTCACTTCAGCATTACTTGGTATGATGTTCTTCAGCATTTTAGGACACATCTTTATTGTTAGCACTGCTTTTTTAAAATGTAGGAAATATAGCAGAAGTTAAACAGATCTGTGCACAAGGATACAACTTTCCAGGCTTGTGTCACTTGCATCAGACTGCAAGTGGATCTCATAGTATCTGCTTGTATACAAAATTTAATTTTGCAAATACCAATAAAGTGTCCTCTACACAGCCCCAGAATGATTTTTCTAAACTTTTTATGTTAAACAGGATTTGCAACTTGGACCTGTTAGTGTAGGCATGACTGGAGAATCTTGCCTTTGGACACATGATTTCTAATCCTTTTTCATAATTTGCTATGAAGATGTTATGAATTAAGGACCAGGATATGACGTTGAGCGCTCTGATTCATCAGCAAACATGGCTTGCCTTGGGGTGGTTGGAATAATTTCCTCTGCTCTTGATCTTGCTCTTCTCTTAGCATTTCCCTTGCCTGCCCGAGGGGACAGCTCTGCTACCTGTGAAGCAGTTCTTAAACCGCTAGTTGATAGACCAGTATATTAAAATAAATTTACACCTATTCTTGTTTAGTTTACAGCTGTATTCCCTGAGACTGTAAAAGCCTGTGGCTGTAAAAGCAACCAGTGGGTAAAAGGTAGATGGATAGCTGGAGTGGAAATCAAGGCAGCTGTCCAAAGTTAAACCATCCCTGCTTGTGAATCAAAAATCAGTTATGCTAAGACCCATCTGGCCATGTCCATTCTATTAGTCCACTTGGACTCCTTAGCACCTCTAGATTTAAATAAAGTGCAAATGACATCAGGGCCTGGGTTGCAGATTTACTTTTTAATAGCCTAAATATAAGTATTAATCCTCCTGGTAAATATTTGAGAAGAGCATTTGTGGCAAATCAGCTGAAAAAATAAAATCTCTACATCTCAATGCATGAGGCCAATGCAAATAAATGCATGCCTTATGATAAGCAAAGTAAATATTCCCTAAGTATTCCATGTTACTCTACTCAGTCTTTCTGAATACAATAGTGCACACGATAGTACGCTAAATTAAGAGACCATGCATATTTCAATGCAATTATGTCATTTCATCATGGCACATGATTAATTTATTTGACGTGTCTGATTATTCAGTAGCATATATCTATAGAACACAGTCTTCACAAAAACATTAACGAAAATATTTCTTTATTTTACATTCTTAGCAAGCAGATGAAATATAATAGAAAATCAGCCTGGTTTTTCTGTTTCAGATTAATTAATTAGAAATAAAAGGAATTATTTAGTGATACATTTATATTTCAAATAAAGTTACTTGTATATTTCGTTACGGTACTTTTAGAAAATAAATTTTCGTACTGCTGCCATCAAAGAAGTTGCTTCAAGCCTGCACTTTGCCTATATTTGTAACCTGCAAGTCCATGTGAGACTATTTCTGATTACTGCTAAGATTTGGCTTGTGAGTCAGAACACTTCAACCAGAAGTAGTTCTGAAAAGACTTGTGTTTAACTTCCTACTAAAATGTTTGTATACAGAAATATAGCGGTAAACAGAGATGTTTCCCATCTTCATACTGTTAAATCCAGTGTATATATTTCTATCGAAACTCCTAGGAACAAGATAAGGCCAATGACTGAAATCATATTTTTGATCTACCTTCGATTGTCTACATTTGTGGGAAACCTTCACACACCTAGGGTAATCATTCAGTCTGCTATTTCAAGTACAGTGGACATTAACATAGACTGAAAGGGAGTTGTCACTCTTCCTAAGCAGTGTTTGGTACAGGTTTTGAGAAAATAAAAGTTTGCTGGACATAAAGGACAGAAGAAATACTCTGTCAGAGACTTGCAAGTTCCTCTGAAATACTGTGTCAACATAAACACGGTGGGGAGAAATCTGGTGAAATCGCAACTGGAAAAGCCTTTAAGGGAATACTTGTATTACCCACTGATGGTTACTCTCCCTGGGTATGAATGCAGTGGGGAGCAGGGGCCTCACTTCTGTTAGAGGTCCCAGGAAGATGGAGCACACTAAACTGCACAGCTTCCTTGTTTGCCAGCTTAAGTGCCTACAGAAGCAGTAAGACCATAACTAGTTAAGTATGCAGATGTGAACAAGTGTATGTGAGAGAAACCCTAGAAAAATTTTTAGAGAAGAACCAGATACACAGTAGTCCATGTTTGAAAGTAGCTGTGTGTCTGTGTCACAATATGGATTTACATTTTCCTTCATTCTGGATTCAGGATTTTGGTCCAAGTATACACTCCATTGTCATGGAGTACATTTAAAGGATGGGAAGCTTTCTTCTTCCCATCCTTTAAATGTACTCCATGGCAATGGTGTTACCTGTCTGTGGTTAAGCCAGATCTCAGCAATTTCCTCGACCAGGACTTGTGTAAAGGAGGGGACTCAAAGGGAGATGTGACATGAGGAGTGGGACACAGACGGCAGTGAATCCTGAACAGGCATCAAGCGACAGAGGAATCAGAGAAAAAAAAAAAAAAAAAAAGGCTGAAAGGATGAGATTATCTAAAAGGGTGAATATTAGGTAGAATCAAATCTGTATTTATACTTTGCGTAGCAAAGCCTCAGAAGAAGAGCCAGTACTTGGAGCACAGTATCAGACCAGTTATCCACTGGGTCCTTAATCAGTCTGCAAAGAGCAAGTATAGTAGGATACAGTTTATACCAGTTTTGCACAGGAAGGAGAGCTGTCCTCAAACCCTTGAATAATAAAAATTAACATTCACAATTTTTATTTCTGTTAAAGGAGGTAGTATAATTAGTCCTGCATAAAGTGAAGATTAACTTTAATCTCTGAATGAGGGTTTTTTTTCAAACTGCTTTTGTTTTAAACTCTGCACTCAGGAAGATCTGTTAACAAGCTCAGCACAGAACCACTGAGAATCATACATGAGACACTGGAAGAATCCACTGATTGGCTTTATGGCTTTATTTCTTTACTGTCTGACATCGTATGGAGTGATGATGATGACAGTGATGAAGGTATTTGTAATGTAAAGACTTCTGTAACTGCTCTAACTGATGTTTTACATGCATTATGTTGGCTTACTCAGCTTTTAACCTCTCAGACAAGAAGGTCAAGCAAAATGAAAAGTGAATGTTATTGCTAATAAAGCATCTACTGGCTATTCCAATCAGTAAATTGGTGTCTTTGTTAGCTTTCATCTCGTGTTTAATGTACCATTACAGAAAAGCTGTCAGAATTAAATATTACCATTAGTACATCTTGAAGTAAAGAGTACTAATTTATACAAGACTTCAAAGCTGCAACCAAAATATGCATCAAGATATTGCTTCAGAAAATGGCAATAGCTATTTTCTTTTAATCAGCAAGAATCTAAAGCCTGGTAAATATGCAAGATAGTCCAAGAAAACTTAAAACTTTATTATTTGATATATTGATGACAGGAAAACACATTGAAACAAAAACAAAAAAAAAGAAAGAAAGAAAGAAAGAAAAAATAGCATTTTGTCTGAACTAAGGGGATTTTGTGTGGAATATTGCAAATAATTCAGTTTACTAGCAATTATGGTTCTGCCGTTATAGTAACACTCCTTGTCTGACATCATCTGGTACATGAAAGTAAATTGCTAACATTTCAAGTTTGGAAATAACTATCCTTCTGTTATAAAAAAAAAGTAGTTCCCTGGTACGAGCAGAGCAGTAGCGAATTACCATGTCACATTGTATTGGTCATTTTGGCAAGTGATGAGTGTAGGAGTGACATCTTCATTTCACGGTAGTTTATTTTATATTCTATTCAGCTATACTAGAATATAATTAAAAAGCAACATGTACTGAAACTGACTTCTACCTCTTTGTTCGTAAATTTGAGGTATTATCAAATTTCTACCTTTTAAATGTGTGCATGTGCTTTTTATATTAGCACCCATATGAATACTAACAGGTAGGCTGCTACATGTGAGCCTGTGAACTGGGATCCTATTCTGAGATATGGTATACGAGTAGCAGAAAGCCAGTTTCTCGTATGGTTGAGCAACAGAAAAGGTGAAATATGGAGAGCTCACTAGAATTTGAACAGTGTTGATTTTTATCATTTCACAGCTCCCAAAGCACCTGCAAGCTTTCAAATACTTGAGTGGCTAAGTGTTAATGCAAGTAAGAAAGGTTATAAAATATCTGACATACAAAAATTCAAGATCTGAATGCTCACTAAGTGTTTGGAAACCTCAGTCCTACCAGCCTTCAGCCCAAGTGAAATTTCGTCAGTATCTACCAGGAATGTGAAAAAGCAGTAGGCAACTTACTGCACTGTATCATGGAAAGCAAGTGCATGTGAACACCCTTCCCACTGTGCGCTGCAGTCAGTGCAGCTGAGAATGCATGCCTGCCACGGTCATTCAGATTAACTCCTTTAAATTCCATGTCCTGCGTGGATGTGGAATAACACATTGCAGCAATCAAGTGCTCATAGTTCTGCTGAAATTGAGTAATTTTTGCCTTGGATTTCACTGGAAGCACTGCTACAATGTTGCTAACCTGTATATACATTTTATCAGTTGGAGTTAAAACGGAACTGCTGGGTCTTTCCTCAAAACCTGGAAACATGCATAAAATCAAGGAAATTGTAAATTGTAGTCACAAGTTAACACTCAGAAACGCAAACGCAGATTTGGATGTTTCCTTGGTTACTAATGCACGTTGAACTTATCTACCCTATACCCAGGAAAACCTCCATGTTATGAAAAATCCAGTATCTCAGAATAGAGTGCTTGCCATTTAGCATATAAACAATAGAATAATTTTATTATTATTAAAATGAGCCAACAAGAGTAAAAAAGTGTGAGGTTGGGGTTTTTTTTAATGATGATATCTCTTCTCTAACATTTGTGTTTTTCTTTTGGTTTAGGTGAAGTGGAACCTTCCCTGAAAAAAGGTTGGTCAGTTGCCTTACTATAGAGGGAAAATATTTTGCAACTATTTTAAGAATTAATTAATACATCTGTGATACAGATACTTTCATTAGTTATATGTCAGTCTGCTAATCTTGTAAGTTGCACTTTAACAAACTCATTAAACGAAAACTCAAGTAATAGTACTTGCTAAACTCTTTGCTGCTGTGTGACAATTCTTGACTGCTTCATTACTATCCAGAAAATCTGAAAAATGTTCATAAAAAACCATGCTAGAATTATAGGAATATTATCTGTACCCTTGCCCTGCATGTGGGACTCCTATTAATGCCAATATGAGTTATGTATATGTCTGGATAGAAATAATATCTAGAAATAATAGTATACAAAGAATATTTAGTGAGAAATAATGGTGAGGTATTGTGAAAGCATTTTACCTTGTGCCAACACAGAACCCTAAAATAAGGACTACTTCTTAATGTTCTGAAAAAAATTATTTAGTTATCATTGAATTTTTAAAGCAGACAAGTAAAACAAGTAGGATTTATATTTTAAATCTTTTCGGGCATTAAAATTGTTATGCTGAAACATAAAACTTAAGTTCAACTTCTATTAAATCAAAATGAAAATGTATTAGGAGGCTTGAGATATTGGTGACAGGATGTAAAGCTTTTCAAAAAGAGTGTGCTTTCTTCTCCAAATTGAGCACAGCTTGATAATAACAAGATGTATAACCAGACCTATGTAATCTGAATCTGGTACCCATCAAATTCTCAGTACATAAATGCCTGTATTGGAGAATCTATCACCCCAGTTGGTGCTGAGATTACAATCTAGTGTTCTCTGAAGTTTATTGGAACTGGATCAGTTCCAATATATTTAATGACATATTTTGTCAGTCTTAATAGAGCATCCAAGGAATTAATAGGCTTGAAGACCAGGACCATTCATCTTCCTACAGATGATCCTTCATGTTAGGACTGAAGAAAATTTATAGATAGTGTAGGAAAACATTCCATCTCTTTATTCCATCAGTAAGAATTGCAAAACGTTCAGCATTGCCCCATCTCTTCTCCCAAACAGAGAAATGTATCATTGATTTTACAGTGGGTGCAAAGATCCTGAAGCTGTAGTGTGTTGTTGGCAGGGATGCCAGGTACATGGGTGGAAGGTGTCTACTCATCGTGGGCCAGTGTAGCTGACCAGGCTGGGAGTACTTTGGAGATACTTCACTGCTGGGAAGGCTTAATCTGTAAAAACTTTACGCTCAGCATTGCAATGCCTGCTTCTTTGGAAATCAGTGACATACTCATGCCTTATATTTTACATCAGGACACGAGGCTGTAGAAATAGAATTCAGAGAAGCCATCAAAATAAGCTGGAAACTGCTTAAATTAAACAGCTGGAAGTGATGAGATAATTGTTTGGACCTAAAAGTCCTCCATCCAAGGATCTGAGTATCTCACTGCCAGCTTGGAATGTTTTCATCATTATTCGAGGCTCACAACCCTGCTCTGGAGTTAAATACCTGAGAAAGTCTTCTATCTTTGGTCTGAAGGAAATGGGCAAAGAGCTGGTATCTTACAGGATAACTGTCACACAGATGTGAAAAGGCCTAAATTCAAACATGTTTCTTCTGCCTGGGCAGCAAAGCAGATTTTGAGTAGACTTTTCCACTTCCTGGATATGTGTTCAAGATCTTTC